AAGTGCTGAGTTATACACCAGGCAGATATATAACATGCATGGGTGCTCAGCTCTGCACAGCACAGATGTACAACAGGCATGGGTGCTGGGTTCTGCACCAGGCAGATATATACCATGCACAAGTGCTGGGTTCTGCACCACACAGATATATAACATGCACGGGTGCCGGGTTCTGCACCAGGCATGTACATACCATGCACAGGTGCCGGGTTCTGCACCAGGCAGGTATATACCATGCACGGGTGCTCGGCTGTATGTCAGGTGGCCTATGACATGGCTGCGCAGATCCTTTTCCAGCTATGAGCATGGAGATCTTTCATGTGTGGCATAACTCGGCTTCTGGAGTTAAAACCACACTGCTTTATTCCCTTGCAATTGAGGTATAAATGGACACTAAGATAGGCATTTTCTCCCTTGTTTTCCTATTTTTCTTCCTTTTCTTCTTCTCTGTTCAGTTTCTCAAGCTTCGATTTCCTCTTACGCCAGAGGGAAATGAAACTCAATTGTAGCCAGGGGCTCGTCCCAGCCGCTGAGATGGCAGGTGTCCTTTCTCGCTTTTCTCACGTTCTCACTTCATCCGTGATGTTTCCCTGCCACGTTTATAATGAAGAAAACCAGCAGTGTCATCTTCACATCATTTCAGGGTGTGCGTTGTCATACATCTGACTTTAAATGATAAATGACTGTAGAGATCTATGTCTTTATGGAATTGGAGAGGATTTGTTTCCCAAAGGAAACTGGTGCCACTGTTCTCCATGAGAACGTTGACGCGTGTCCATGTCTGTCTGCTCCTAGGTGCCTCAGGATGAGTGGGGAGGGTACCCCACCGGTGGCAAAGATGAGGAGATTCCCTGCAGGAGAATGAGAAGTGGGAGCTACATTAAAGCCATGGGGGACGAGGAGAGTGGAGAGTCAGACTCCAGCCCCAAGACGTCACCAAAGTCGGCGATCCGACCGGAGCCGCTGCTGAAGTCCATCGGGCAGAGACCGCTGGGAGAGCACCAGACGTAAGTGGGACCAGCACCTTCCCGATCCAAGCACTGCCCCGTCTCCGAGCTCCCTCTCCAAAACCTCTTCACCGTGAGCTAGTGCCACCCATGCAAACTGCATTCCCGAGCTGAAAATACTAGACCCCATGGCCATCAGTTTTCAAGTTTGTTTTTTTTTTTAGAACAACCAGAGCTTTGGTCACTTATTAATTACATGGTAATCGGTGAAGTCTGGCTGGGTGACTTCCGCTTCAAATTTTAAAGCCAGACTGAGCCATCGTACCTTTCTGATCATTCGAATTACTCCAAGGACAAGCATGTGTCTCCATCTGCATGAATGTGTGTGCGTGGCTGTATGTTTGAAGGTCTTTGTGGGTAAAAATCATTAACGGGAATTTTGTTGTTGACTGTAACTTTATAACTGCATTTCTAGGCAACACATGTTTTTGTAGAGGAGTGAGGAAGTGGACTAGCTTTATAAATAGAACACCCTACACTTTACATATTTGTTCAAAATATATTATTAATAAATTTGATAATTTCCAAAATATAGGCAGATAAAACTCTTGGGAAATCAGCCATTCCTACGAACTATGAAAATATGACTGTTACTCACAACAGCCATGCTGCTGTATATCCTGAGTCCCACGGGTTATCTGGGTGGAAACGTCAAGAACCACCTGGAAGTTCCCCTGCCATCCACGGCTGGCTGTGAGGTCCTGTGCACGTGGATGGCCAGGGCGTAACGGCTTCTCAATCTTGGCCAGTACTGCATAAGCATTATTAATTATGACCCACAAGTCAGACAGGGAGCCCCGGGCCGTGGCACCATCCCTCTGTCATTCCTTTCCATGGGATAACACCAGGGAATGGAGCTTTCAGTCCAGATGGTGGCAAGCAAGGGCCAGCCAAGGGCCTGTTCTGTGTATAAAGTTTTATTGGAAAGCAGCCCGCTCTCTGGTTGCCATGTTGCTGTGGCTGCCTCCCAGATTCAGGCGGGGCTGAGCAGGTGTACGGCACCCTGACAGCTGGCACACTCTGGAACACTCACATCTGGCCCTTCACCAAAAGCGGGAGCCTACCCCCTAGAATCTAACAGAGCCAGGGCACGTTAGTGAGTAGTCATAGGTGGCACAGGTTTAACTTACAAGTGTCAAGTGAAGTGTTCTCTAAATGTGTGAGACAGGACTCCTAACCCATTCTGGTAGCTCTGGGCTTGTCTCCCTTCAGACCTGCGTGTACACTGAGGGGTCTGCCCTAGAACATTAGGGTAAGCAGTGCACAGGAGAGCCTCACCCCTGTACAGAGCAGGACCAGGTTCCTGAAGAGGGAAATCAGATTTTATAACAACACTACTTCATATTGAACACCAACTCTGTGGAATCACTCAGGTGCGATCAGAAAATGGAAAGTTTCTGCGTCGCCAGATTCTAGCGTACAAGGGGGTGAGACAGGAGAGTGATGAACTAGGCATAGTGCTGGCATTAGTCACAAGACTTCTGGTATACCAGGAGCAGTAACCATCCCAGCTCCTGGCCGCTCTGTGCTGCTGTGTGTAAATGCAGCTGTCAGCGTAACTGCTGAAGCAGGTGTCGTGACCCAAGCCTTGAACATGAAGAGCCATGCCTCAGTGCGTCATGAAGCTACCAGAAGTCAACTCTAGGTCTCTCGGTTTTATGCAGCTAAACACACTGCCCCCTGTGCCCAGAGGCAGCAGAAACTTCCCTCGGTGATGAGTCAGGTGTGACCTTCCCACCAGAGCCTCAGTATCCATCCAGCAAGAGTGTTTATTCAACAGTTAGTTGGCATTTCCATTTTATTATGACCCCATCTCTACTAAAAATACAAACATTAGCTTGCGTGGTGACACACACCTGTAATCCCAGTGATTCAGGAGGCCACGGCAGGAAAATCACATGAATCCAGGAGGTGGAGGTTGTGGTGAGCCAAGATTGTGCCATTGCACTCCAGCCTGGGTGACAGAGCAAGACTGCATCTCAAAAAAAAAAAAAAATTAAAGCAAGTAAATTCCGCGGGACATCCAATGAGAAGCTTATGAGGAGAGATGGACGCGGAAAGGCAGCCGTGCTGGAGGCTGCAGCCTGGTGTCCCTGCAGCAGGGACAGTGTCGGGAGCAGCCCGGGCCAGGGGTTCCGGGAGCAGGGACGGGTGTCAAGATCGCCCGAGGCCGGCGGGGTGAGAGGAGCCTGCAGAACTGAGGAGTTTCTGCAGCAGGAACAGGTGAGAGGAGGCTGCAGGACCAAGGAAGGGCAGCAGCCTGGGACTCCCCCGGGGCACACACGGCATGCTGGGCAGTGGGTGGCGCTCAGCGCAGACAGCACTGACTTTCCTCCTCAACCTGCCCTTGGCTCCGGGGGTCCTGAGATGCCACCCGGTGCCTCCGAGGTGCCATTGGCACCACTGCGGATGCTCACAGCTGCCGGCGGCAAGGTGCAGAAGTCTGCATTAACTTACTCTGACAACGTTTGCCGGTAAATTACATAAACAGATCACCCTTATCCTGCGTTTATTTTATACCCAAAGGCTGCTTTAAACAAAATTGGTGATTCTATAATTGTATTTTAAACAGAATTCAAAGTAATTGGATACAGTGCACTGAGTGTTTTTCTCTTTTTTGCACCAAAGAACTTCCCAGCAGGAGCTGATTGACAAAATCTTTGAAGTAGCTGAGCGATTCAGATAAAAATGAGAACGAATGCTCGCTTATCTCCGTGAGGCTTTTATTCTCCTTTTGGTGTGCAGGAGCAACTTCTAGTCACCTGAGCAATATTAAGAATGCAAATATGATGGGAAGATGGACTTCTAATTGTACTTGGTTTTAATTTGCTGGGTGTGGGCTCCGGTTCTTATCTGAAATGATCAGGCACACAAAGGCCCCTCCGTTCACTCTGCCGTCCTGTGAGATGATCAGTGGTCCCTCGGTTCACTCTTTTGTCCCGTGAGAT